TTCATGTAATTTTTATTTTATTATTTCCTTTTTTTTTTTTTGTTTGAGTACATATAACTTATTTCCATTTGCAAAAGGTTAATAATAATTAGTGGAATTTTAGCTATTCAGCATCGCGTGCAATTCTTATTTATTTAGTACCTTTTAATAGCTTACGTTAAATAGTGCTAACTATACATATGTATAAGGTTAATATACACAATATTTATCAAAATATAAGTTTGTATGTAAATAAACACGAACACAAGCGCAATCCAGTTCCGAGTCTCCCAAGAAACCTCTTTAAAATAAACATTTTGGAATAAAAGCTCTAAAGCGCAATAATGCTTTCAAATGTTTTTTTTTTTTCAAATTAAAGTTTTATTGGCTCTTCAAACTTATGAAAACTTTCTCAGCTAAAAAAGCACTTAAAGTAAAAGCTTTAAAGAAAAAGCTTTCTAAGGCATTGAATCTTTCACTTTCATAAAAAGCTCATAAAAAATAAAAAGCTTCTGTTTCGTCAAAATAACAATTTAGAATGAAAACTCGCAAAGCTCAATAAAGCTTTCAATTTGTTGTTTTTTTTTTCTTTTTCAAATTAAAGTTTCATTGGCCTTTCAAATTTATGAAAACTCCCTCAGCTAAAGCAAAACACTTAAAGCATTGAAGCTTTCACTTTCACAAAAAGCTCATAAAATCTTTCGTTTCATCAAAACATATTACTTTTCTGCTTTCAAAAATGGAAACACTCAAAAATAAAAAGGTTACTTCGTTTTTGTTGACGCACCGCTAAATACGAAAATACGATTCTACCGAAAGCTGTGTGAAAGCTTTCTGCTAAATTTTTCTTTAAAAGATTTTTGAACTTCATTTTAATTTGTTATTTTTCTAAATTAACAAGTAATACAAAAATAAATTTACTTTACAAAATTTAAGCTACAAAAACAAAACTTAACAGCGCCAAACTGAAAAATTGATGAAAGCTCTGTAACGAAAGTTCGGCAAAGAGCAAATAAACGTCCAAGAAACTAGAAGTAAAAATTTTATATTGTAAAAACACAGCAACAAAGCAACATTTGTTAACGCACTGCAATTTCAAATTGCAAAAAAAAAAATAAACACATTTTAACAAAACTAAAATTAGAAAAATAAGCAAATGTAAATAAATGGATATAAATGGATATAAAAATAGGAAAAACTAAAAATATTCATATTTAAGAAAATATGTAAAAATTAATTTAAAATAAAGAATAATGAAGAAAACACTAAACTGTGGGTAGAGTGATAGAAAATGAAGAAATTAAAACTGCACTAAATAAGAAGAGCAAGAAAACTAAAAATAAAAATTAGTAAAAATATGCATAATTTAAAAATTGCTATAAATATGTTAATTTATGCTAAGATTGTGTTGAAAAAAGTCAAAAATCAGTTACTAAGCAAATCAAAAACGGAAAAATATGAGTAAAACGAAGAAAAGGCGAAAAAGTGTAAGTCTTGTAAAAACTATTTTTAGCGTAAAAAACGCTTAAGTGGTAAATAACTAGTTTTTAAAGCAAAATAAATTTAGAAAATATATTTCAATAGAAAAAGTAACTAAAATAAAATTTGTAAATAAATAAAAAACGTATAGAAAGGCACTGCAAATTGTTTTTCAATTCAGGTGGACTTTTCTACAATTCTTAAAATTTCAAATTTAATAAAAAAAAAAACAATATTTTTGTAAATAGAAATTATTTTTCCTTTAAGTCAGAACAAAAACTGATAAGTAATACATAATTTTTGTTTATCCCCAACTTTAATTTAATGTTTTGCAAATTTAGTATTATTTATTTATAGCATTTTTAGTTGTAATTAACTTATGAAAATTTTCCGCCAATTAAAAAAATAAATATTTTACTAATTTAAATAACTGTATGCATTAAAATATTGCGCAAAGCTAAAATAGCTGTGTCTGTACATTATTCTAAGGCAGTGTGTGTGCGTATTAATTATGCACATAACTGTAAACTTGTATGTAATTAATACGCTATATGTATGTATAAGTGTAATTGGCCATATTGATAGTTAAAAAGTCGAAAATCTATTATTAAAAAATTAAATTAAATTTAGGAGTAAAATTAAAAATTAAAGAAAAAATTTAATGTAATTCAAGAAATATGAAATGTGAAATACCGTGTAAGTGAAAATCATTATTATTATTATTATTGATTAATATTAAATTTAATGGCAATCACAAATGCAAAAGTGTGGTGAAAAATGTGACAAAATTTAAGTAAAGTAATTTAAAAGATATAATTAAATAATGAAACAAAGAAAAAGAAATCACAAAAAAAATAATAAAAATCATGTATGAAAAATTTAAACGAATGACTTCTTATTCCTGCGAATATTATTTCTTTTATATAAAATAGCACTATGAAATGAGCATGTTGAGACTGAAAGAGAGTTGCATACTCTGAGCGGACCTGAGTTCAATCAGCAGTTGTTGTCTTTTGAACTTCCTTTGACTTTTCCACAGTGCCTGAAAACATATTGTCGGCCGGGAAGTTTTAAGCCAGTAATTTTTGGCATTCTTTGGAATTTGCAAATAATTTCAAAGTTGCTCCGGTATTTTTGATATACATATACGTTTTCTATTTTTTGGAATATCCAACTTTGACCTCTTATAGCATCTGTTATATACAAATTTTATACAGCATTGAAATACGAAGAAAGTGCCATATTTTTACTTTCTCAGTAACTTGCATATTGCAATTAAAGCTCAATTTCGAAAGAGAAAGGCTAGCTTCGAAAGACAGAGAAATTATATTCTTATTGATGACTTACACTCAAAAAATTGGTGTGGATCAATACTCAGAAAAATATTGCAAGCAAGCAAATGTAAGCCACATAATTTTATAATATTCATCAATATATATTTTACGCTTTTAAAGTAATCCCCACAAGATGTAATGCACTGACGTCAACGATTTTTCCTGTCAGTGAAACACTTTTCACGAAATTTAAGCACTTTTTGGGAGACCTTCAGCTCTTTAGGCGAATTTTGATTTATCTCTTGATCGACTGAAAACAGGTTCCACGGAGTGGAAATAGTTTGGTGAACAAAAAATGTCACGTTTTTGGCTTTAAATTCGATAACTATCGTGGCTCCATGTGATGATGCATCATCAACGTGAAAAATCTATGATATGTTCTTTCACAATTCCAGCCACTTTCGACGGATGTTCTCACGAAAAGGCCTCCCAATACCTCCGAATAAAACTCCTTATTGACCGGAACAAATTCATTATGCACCAAACCACGAATGTCGAAACAAACTGAACGTCACCTTGATTTCTGAGTGGCATTGGCGTGGTTTGCTTTGGCTCGTTTTTCCCTTTCTTTCGATGATTGTTGACTTGCTTGCATGTCAAATTCATAAAGATATGTCTCATCAGCAATTTTAAGGCTCTCCATGAATGTGGGATCGGAGTTCGCACATTCAAGCATGTCGAAAGAGAACTGCTTACGGTACTCTTTACAAAAATAATTCAGCTTTTTCAGACAAAATATCCACCAAAATCATTCAAACCGATTTGGGGGAGATATCGAGCTCTCCTGCCAACTCTTTAACAATAGCGATTTTCAAGCACCACATCCCTCACTTTTTAATATTTTCATCAGATAAAGACGTCGAAAGTCGTTCAGAGCAAGGCATGTCTTCAACGATCTCTCGGCCGTCTTTGAAGGTCTGAATCACCGTAAGCATTTTTAAAATTTCGCAAGATTCCGCATAAGAAATTTTATGAAAATTTTTGAGACAAATTCTTTATTCGATATTTTTTGCCATCGTAAACAAACTCGTTGCCAGACCCCTCTCATATCATTGGTACAGTAATTAAAGACAGTCCTATCAACTTAGCAAAGTACATTGTTTTGAAATATCATTTACGAGGGGAATTTAAAGCACCCATTTTGTCCCAATGTACATTGGCCAATATGTAAATTATCTTAATTAAATTGAATGAACGTTTTTTCTCTTAACGGTGCATCTTTGTGCTTAGAATTGATAAAATCAGTGGAAGGTTTGACTTAGCCCCTTCATACCAAATATCACGGTTTCAAACACAAAGCAGACTTTACTCCATTTACTTGTATGTATGGTATATTGTCGATGGTATGTGAGGTATCTTGATGAAACTCACAGTTCACTCTTCTGTTAATAAAATGTTGTAATGCCAAAAATAGATAAAATGGGTTAATACTACACCTATCTCCTATATAAACAGCTGTTGACAGCTAATTAGAAACGTTCCTTGGAGCTGTATGCCAGCCCTACACTTACACTTACATTTTTGACCTTCGTATGTTTGGAAAGGCGTATTAAGAAGTTTTGAATCAGGTTAATGCTCAAAAAATTTTGTTTTGAATGTCTGTAAGCATATGCAGT